GTCAAGAAATCAAACGACGTATTGCATTAGGCAAATCTGTTGTACAGACCTATTTAAAGTGTTCAAGAGTATAGCTATCAGTTTTAGGACCAAAGTGCACCTGACAGAAGTCATAGTATTTTCAATAGCTTCATAGTTTTGTGAAAATTGGACAGTGAATAAAGAAGAATTGATGCATGTGACTTATGATGTTGGAGAAGAATATTAAAAGTACCAAAGACTGCCAGAAGAACAAACAAATCTGTGTTGGAAGAAGTACAGTCAGAATGTTCCTTAGATGTCAGAATGGAGAGACTTTTTACTTCATACTACGGACATGTTATCAGGAGGGATCTGGCCATGGAGAAGGACATCATGCTAGGTAAAATGGAGGGTCAGTGAAAAAAAGGAAGACCCCCCAATGAGATGGATTGGCACAATGACAGCAGCAATGGGCTCAAGCTTAACCAAGATTTGTGAGGATGGCACAGGAAAGGCAGTGTTTTGTTCTGTTGTGCATAATGTCACAAAGAGTTAGAACCAACTTGATGGCACCTAACAACAACAAAAAGGAGCTCTGGTAGTGTAGTGGTTACAAGTCGGGCTGCTAACCTCAAGGTCAGCAGTTCGAAACTACCAGCAGTTCCGCAGGAGAAAGATGAGGCTTTCTGCTCCTATAAAGATTCACAGCCTCGGAAACTCTGCGCAGGGTCACTATGAGTTGGAATCGACTCCACAGTACTTAACAACAACAACAACAACAACAACAACAAAGGATTGACAAAACATCAAAGAAAGCAAGGTGAATACCTAAAAAACTTTAGAAGAATTTGGGAAAACACTACAAGAAAAGACAAAATAAATGCAAAATTTAAAACAATAAAAAACCTGCAATTAGAAATCTCAAAGATTAATACTAAGATTTCAGAAATGGACAATACATTGAAGGGGCAAAGAATTGGATTTAAAGTAATGGAAAACTGAATTAGTGAGCTTGTATAGAAATCTCTCAATACCAATATGCTAGAAGAATAAATCAGAAAAAAGAATGAACAAATGTGAAGGAATCCTAAGAGTTATGTAATAACTACAGGTGATCAGAATTCCCGAACAGGAAGATGCAATAAAAAGCACAGAGAAAATTGCCAAAGAGTTGTTGAAAGAAAACTTCTCTAACATCATGCATGAAAAATGAGCATATTAATCATTCAAGAAGCTGAACGAATTCCAACAGGCCAGATTCCAAAAGAAAATGACCAAGACATATCATAATCAAACTTTCCAAAGCCAAATATAAGAAAAGAATTCTGAGAGCAGCTCAGGAAAGATGAAAAGTTATCTACAAAGGAGAACCTGTAAGATTAAGCTCTGATTTCTCAGTAGAAACCTTGTTGGCAAGAAGGCAACATATATGAAATGGAAAGAAAAAAAAATTGCCAACTAAGAACCATATATCCAGCAAAGCAGTCACAATGGTGAAATTAGAATATTTCCAGGTAAACAGAAATTAAAGGAATTTTACCAGACCAACTTTATAAAAAATACTAAAGGGTGTTCTTTGGACTGAGAATCCACAACCGCAGACAACCACCTGAGACTAACTAACATACATGACAACAGCCCTCAGAATCCAATCCATATATATTGTTGTTATTGTTAAGTACAGACTTACAGTGGCCCTTTATAGGCATTCCAAGGCTTTAAATCTTCACGGGAGCAGAATGCTTCTTTCTCCTGAGGAGTGACTGGTGGGCTTGAAATGCCAACCTTATGGTTCACAGTCCAGTGCTTATCATATGGAGCCAAAGCATTCCCTCAATTCAGATATGTTGTTGTTATTAACCTTGTGGTTCAAACCGACTTTGTGGTCTAAGGCTTTATCCCACAGCAGCACACCAGGACTCCAATTCAGATATAGAAGTACTAACAGTAAAACAAACCTACAAGACTGAAAATAGGGAACCAGAGATACCAATTTATAATGAAGTCAACTACACATCCAAAAGAGGGACTAGTCTAGTTATAGAATGTCTAAATGGTAAGGAAGTCAAGTAAATTTCAGTATAAAACAGAATGTTTTAAATGGGGAAAGATTAATAAATTACAGGGTAACTTCAAAGAAAATTAACACACCTTCACATCAAAATAAAAAAGAGAAAATCAGAAAGATTTAATAAACATTTACACAACAGAAATGAAGAAAATCCAGAAGTACAATGAACTCAATGCAGAAAATTATGTGGAACAAAGAAACTAGCAGCACCACAAAAATACACACAGCAAAATGACAGCAATCAATGCATACCTACTGATGATTATATTGAATGTAAATGGCTTAAATGCATCAGTCAAGAGACAGAAAGTTGCAGAATGGATAAGAAAACAGGATCTTTTAATATGCTGTCTACAAGAGACACATCAAAAAGAGACAGTCTAAATGCCCATCAACAGAAGAATGGTTAAACAACCTTTAGTACATACACACAGTGGAATACTATACAACATTGAAGAATAACAATGAATCTACAAAACACCTTACAGGATGGATGAACCTGGAGGACTTTATGCTGAGTGAAATCAGTCAATCATAAAAGGACAAATATTGCATGAGACCATTGTTATCAAATGTTAAGAAAAGGTTTTCTTCATAAAAGAAATATTCTATGCTGGTTACAAGGGAATAGAGGAGGGAAAACTATTCAGGAGATAGAGGGGAGACACATTAATATGAGTGATGAGTCAGGCAATATACAAGAGAGAAGTTGGCAGAGGAAAGATGAAGGTAGCGGGAGACACAGGGAGGAATGCAAGAGTTAAAGTGAATAGAGATAAATGCTGTTAACTGGTGGTACATGGAGGGGATTGTAACCACTGTAATGAAGCAAAGTATATGATTTGTTCAATGTAAAACTGATGATCTGCTCTGTGTACACCTTCACTTAATTCACAATTAAAAGTTTTTAAAAATTCTTGAAATATACAGAGACAATTATTTTCTTTTCATGGAGAGTTGACATTAGAGCATTATTATAACGGAATATTTCAAATGCATGGCAAATCATAAATAATATATTTTACATGAAACTTCAGAAAAATCAGTTGGAAGAAAAAGTATAGTTTTTGCTGTTGTATTTCCATTCTTTAAACAAAAAAACCATGTTATATAAGGTTATGATCCTTTTGAATATAGAGTTCAATACACTGTATCACTACACATTACTAAACCAGTATTCATAGTAACAACAGTAATGTGAGGCCATGATTTAGTTTTTACACTATGTATGTGAAGAAACTAAAGCATGCTAAACTTGTGAAATGTCAAATTCAGAGTGTTGTTGATTTGCCTGCAATTATAGGATAAACACTGAACTGCTATGCTAATCTCAAAGTTGGTGGTTCAAATACAACAGCTGCTCCTTGGAAACCCTATACAGGGTTACTGTGATTGAGAACCAACTCAATGGCACTTAACAACAACATAATGTGAAAGATATGTAAAACGAAGCTAGAATTCAGAATTCTGACTCTTTAAGTAAATGTCCAAATCAACTAAAGAATATAAATCATTAGCAACATAACCCCAAATTCTACTTACACATTTAGTTCTTCTTGAATGGATGGGAAAGTGGTGGAATACTATTTAGTGGCAAAGATTTCTCTACTATGATATGTTGTTGTTATTGACGTTTTAGCCCCCAAAATAATCTTTCTTTAAAATTTATACAAGGCAATGCAAATTTTCATTATTATGTGGTCATGGTTGACTTGATTCAGTGATGTCTGCTGTTGGAAACATGCTTTTTACTTCTAACTTACACTTTTGTGACTACATTAACTAATTTCAGAGCAAAGTTTTTGCTTTTAAACTTCTTTATTCCCTTAAGGTCGCCCTCTTGTCTACATTACAGGGAGGAACTAGGGTTACATTTTTTAAATGAAAAAACACACACTGGAAAAATATATTATATAGAGTATAAACAGTTTAAGAATAAATGCAAATACACGTGTATTTGTAATCACCACCTAGGTCGAGAAATAAAATATTACTCCCCATCACAATCTTCTACTTCTTTTCTGACTAACCTGACTCTTACATGTTTTTTTTTTTTTTAATCAAGACGGTGATGTGATAATACAGGATAAGTTAAATTCACAGTACAAACACCAGTGTATTTCCTTAAATCCCAACATTTTCCATACATAAAGTGAATTCAGTAACTTTTTAAGTGGTTGTTCCCCTTTTTCAAACTCGGCACATTCTAACACCTATCTTGAATCCATAGTTGACCTCACCTGCAGCGTTTAATAATAATAAAAAAGTTTTTCAGTGTAGATTTTCATTACTCCCGCTCTCCTTTGCCTTCAACTACAAAGGAACAATGATTTAAACCCTTTGTGCCCTTTCAGAAAATTACACAGATACCCCATTGTGGAACCCCATAATCCCTTCGTAGAAAGGAAGAGATTAGCATATGAATACAAAGCAAAATGAATCCAGAATACAAAATGATGTACTGGATTGTGAAGCTCTTGTATTCTTAAAAAAATATTTATTTCCTCTTTTTGTATTGCCTCTGTAGTGGTCTCAGGATTAAAGGAATTGAGCTTCCCCTCTGGTTACCCGGAAAAGGATTAAAAATCAAAAAACAACAACAACAAAAATCGGTCAACAGATTCTAGGGGGTGCAAAACCAACAGATGGCTCCAAGCGCCAATGGAATCTGCTACACTCGACATGAACTTGCTTGGCGGCGAAGAGTGTAGAAAGTGCTGTTCGCAGACTGCGCGGTGAAGGAGAGAAAGCGACAGAAGAGAGAGCCATAGTGCTGACGTTGAAGGCCCAGCCCTGTGAGGTTGCATAGGGTAAGTGGAGTTGGCCGGGAGGCAGTGGCGAAGGGGAAGGAAAGAGGATTTGGGCTAGGGGGTGGGGCCTGCGGCAGAGCGTGGCTCCTGATTGCTGGAGAGCGGCTGCCAATCTCGCAGAATCGCTCGGTTAACCAGTGCGCTGGCGAGACGCGCTCAGATATACTGAGCGAGCCCTGAGAAGCAGTCTCAGATCCTGACGGTGCAGCAGCCCGCAGCCTCAGCCAGGGAGTCCCAGCCGCTTTCAATGGAGGAGAAGCCCGGCCAGCCACAGCCTCAGCACCATCACAGCCACCACCATCCGCACCACCATCCCCAGCAGCAGCAGCAGCAACAGCCACACCACCATCACCATTATTATTTCTACAACCATAGCCACAACCACCACCACCACCACCACCACCAGCAGCCTCACCAGTACCTGCAGCATGGAGCCGAAGGCAGCCCCAAGGCCCAGCCAAAGCCGCTGAAACATGAGCAGAAACACGCCCTCCAGCACCAGGAAACGCCGAAGAAGAAAACAGGTCTGGGAGGGCGGGCGGGTGGGGGAAGGGGCCTGGAGGTGGGGGGCAGGAGAGATGGGGGTGGGGCTGGATCCGAAAAGCGCGGACGGGGTCTGAGTGTGTGTGCGTGTCTGCCTCTGTCCTCTGGGTCTGGGGATACCCAGTTTCATTCTTCTAACCCTTCCCCAGGCTCAGGTTGGTCAATGAGCTTTGTAGCGCCCTCTCCTTCCTTTCGGGAGAGGCCCAACCAGGCCAGTGTGACCTTCCCGGCCCCCGCCCCGGCCGGAGGGTCGGCCTTGGAAGTCCAACCCGGTTCTCTTCCCGTTTTTCTCTTTGCTGCCCTGAGGGGGGCCTTAATTTGGGGCCCTGGGAGACGGTGACTCTCCACCACCACCCCAAATTCCCTCAGGGTGTAACTCAGGAAGGCCTAGTGAATCCATACTCGGGTGGGTGACGCGAGACCCTTTGCAAGTGGCGAGGGGAGAGGGTAGGTGGGCAGAGTTGAGGAAGTGGCCTCCTCATCCGCCACCCGAAGCCCACCTGTGGCCTTGGGGCTCCCCGTCGGGGGGGGCGGGTGGCACCCTTCGTCTCTCGTGTCATTTCCACCCCGAAACATCGTGCTTTCTGGACTCTGGAGCCCGCAGTCTCAACTCGCGGCTCCTCCCGAGGCCGGCGGCCCGGGCCCGCTCCCCCCAGAGCCGGCGCGGCTGGAATGTTCTCTCCTCGCGGGGCCGCTTCCTGTCCGCCATGTTGGAAGCCGATTCCTGTCACCGACTCCGGCCCACAGAGGAGCGGAGGGGGAAGGGTGTCGAGGGGCGCTCGGCACGGCGGAGCCGGGTGACCGGGGATCCCCACCGGTCGTCGCCTCTCCCCCGGGTGCTGCAGGGTGCCGCCGGCTCTCGGCCGCCCCTCCCCCCGCCGCCGGCCGGGGTTGTGTAACCCAGTGGCGGCCGCGCGGCCCCGGGCGGGTCCCTGGGGTGAGGGGCGGGGGCGGTTGGGGTGGGGGAGGGAAGCAGCCACGAGGGGAGCGGCCTGCGCCGGCCCCGTGCGCCGGCGGCCGCGTTTCCCGCTCCCTGGTGCGGCGGGAGGCGCGGGCGGTCGGGGCGGGGAGCCGGCCTTGAAGCTGAGTCGAGGGGAAAGGAGGCCTCGGGCGGCGGCCGCGGCACTTTTCGGGGCTGCTGGGGTGGGGGTAGGGGGTGCATTTTGGGTAGAGGCGGTGCCTGAAGGCCGGGTGGGGTACCCAGCGGGAACGGAGCTCCCGGGTCACGAGTTTCTGCCACAGGAACCTCCTCTCCTGCCAGGTTCGCTCACGACTCCGCCTCTGAGGCTTTCACTTGGGCCCTTTCCTCATTTTCTACAAAAAAAAAAAACAACAGGTTTTTTTTTTTTTTTTTTCCAATCCTCCTCATCAAACACTTACCTTCAGAGCTTGGGTGGTGCCTTTGAGAAAAAGAGAATGAACATGTTGGGGTGGAGGGCGAGTTTTTTGACCCCTTGTTCTTGCCCTTTAGGATGAACCACCCATGAGGAGGTTAATTTACTACCATCTTGCCTCAGATGAGGTTTTCTGCATGTTTCCAGGAAAAGGGAATTTTGCCCGTTTTAAAACACATCTTGATCACCATACCTTTGTATATTAACATGTTGAATTGTATGGATGAAAGTCATTTTAGAAGACATGAGCTTTAAAGTTTTTAACTACATAGATTTCAAAAAATTAAACTGAAGGGGATGATCATAAAGTGAAGGTTTAATGTGACACAAGCTAACCGAAAACTGGAGCGAAGCTAATTGCCTTATATTGCAGGCTTAACGTAAGATTGATAATTGGAATGCCAAATTTTCCTATGTTTGGGTGGTAGGAACACATGAATGTATTTAGTTCTAAGGATTTGAAACAGTTTAAAGATCTATTTCAGATTACAGCTGAGAAAACCTTACTTTATTAGGGTCAATTACTGTAGTAGGGATTATTACTTTTCAGATTGCAAAGTTGCATCTTAACTATCCTGGTACACCTTTCTACATATTGTTGTTAAGTGCCGTCGAGTTGGTTCCGACCAATAGCGACTGTCTACCCTGTACAGGATTTCTGAGGAGCAGCTGGTGGGGCTACATATAGAAGTGACCCTTGAACCAGCCAAGGTGGCATCCCTCAAAATAGTGTCTTATTCTAGAACGCATAAAGTCGGAAACAATTTGTGATAAGCAGTTTTTATGTGTGCTCTGGTTATGGTTCTATTACTTTGGTGCATAACGCTAATTTATTAAGAAAGCTTTTGAAATGGATCTATTGAGGGGTGCTTTAAATGACCTATTACCCACAAACATATAAAGAGGAGGAACTGTTTTTATTTATCCAGAAGAGGGAGCAAGAGAGGGACAAATGTGTTAAGTAATTTCAAATCTAAACGCGAGATATATCAGGACTCCCATTTGAAGTCTAGTTATAGGTGCTTTACCATGGCAGCCCTAAATAATAAAAGCACTAGGAATTAAATTTTTAGTAACTTTTTTATAGTGTAAGTGTTGTCGAGTTGGTCCTAAACCTCTGTTAGACTTATTATAATACACCAACAAGGTTTTCATGAGAAAAGTTCCATATAGCTAAATGATTTTTTTTTAAATATATTAAAACTTAAAAGTTGGCGTGTAGTGGTATATGAGTTGTTTTTCTTTGGTGATTCCTGGAATCTGAGCCACTTTTAGTTTTAACTTTAGTCCAACAATTTGGACATAGGATTTGGGGGTGTATTTACAGGGTTGCTAAGGGTTGGAACCAGTTGGATGGCACTTAATAACAACCTTTCATTGAGGAGTCTCCTGATGTGGCACTATAGGATAAGCATTGAACTGTAAATCTTAAGGTCAGTTTTTCAAACCCACCAGGCACTCTTTGGAAACCCTATACAGGATTGCTGTGAGTCAGAACTGACTTTCAATTGACTATAACCTTTGAGATCTGAAAATTATGACTAATGGTCAAAGGGTACAGACCTTTGTTTAACCTGCGGTTAGCATGTTAAATGGTATATATAGTTTGGTATGTGTAGTTCTTTGGTCCACAGTTGCCCAAGGATAAAGTTATATTTGTTAAAAATGTTAAGCCTGTAATTAGGAACTTTTCTGCTTTTCAAAGAAGGAGCTTTTTAGAAATCATCCCAAGCAGTAATCTCTTTCTTCCTGTTTTGCAGTTAGAATTTTTCCACACACAAAAAAATGACGATTCTTTTTAGCAGCCCCTTCCCACAAATGTAATCCCAAAGAAGTTAAAAGCTTTCGCAAAATCTTGTCTCGCTGGTACAGATTTTGCCATTGTTTTGAGGAATAATTATACCTTAAATATTTTCTCACAATGCAATAGAAGGAAATGATTTTATTTGCTCGTTTTTAATGTTTCCACCCTTTTTCTCTAATGTAGAATGAAGTAACTTAAAATGATAATCCTGTGTATGAATCTTCTCAGACTATGTTCTTTTCACATCAGATTCCTTCAGAATAGTGGGATCCTTGAACTTTAAAAAAAAAAAACTCCATACTTTATTATTTTTTAGAACAAAATTTCAATACAAGCTCAATACCTTGTAGCCTTCACAGGCCTAAAGGCCTAAGAGAAGGAGAAGATAAAGGCAAATAATTTTCACATTACAGTTGGATCCTTCTCAAAAAGCTTCCTTGAAATGGGTATTTAACCTATAATATATCTAATAACTTGATCTCAAATGCTCTCATGAATATTTCCTAGAAAAATAGTAAGCTAATGTTTTCATTAGTCATTTTATTAGTAAGCAGATAAGTTGTTGAGTTGTCCTAATTTGGTCCTGAATCATTACTCTGAGACCTCCTTGGAACCACCTGTAGTAATGTAAGGTAACTGTTTTTGGTGGTTGAAGGTCTTTAATTAAACGTAGATACCATAACACTTTAAAATTAGATGCTTTGCATTGTTGTTTTGTTAGTAAATATTTTCTTACTGCCTCATTTGTGTTGGCAGTAAGACATGGTATGAAAGCATGGATTCCAAACAGACGAGTTCAGAGTTCCAGTTCTGCCACGTTGTGACTTGGGCAAGTTACTTAATAAGAAAAATATATCTTAGAAAGGTTATAAACATTGATACATGGGTATTTTGGTTTCATATGTTAACAGTATGATCTGTGTAATGTCTGGGAATTTAATACTTCTTTAGAAAAAGTTTATGATAGAGATTTGCTCTTAAAATTATGAGTTGTTACGTGCTGTCGAGTTGGTTCTGACCAATAGCGACCCTGTACAGGGTTTCTGAGACTGTAAATCTTTGTGGGAGCAGAAAGCCTCACATTTCTCCCACAAAACAGCTGGTAGTTTTGACTGCTGACCTTAAGGTTTGCAGCCCGATTGGTAACCACAACGTTAAAATTATGAGTAGAATGACAGAAATGGAAACTACTTAATTATGACCACACCAGCCTTTATGGTTTCATGGGAATGACCTCTGAAATTTCTTGTAATAATAATTACTATGTCAGTTTAACTTGATATTGCCAAAAGGGTAGCTCTCTTATAAGACCATCTGAGATTAATAGATAGGTGATGGTAGGGATTATGGTGTACTACTTTTAAGAGGTCATGTTTTCCTTGACCCTCAAACTTGGATTTTAACCTGGCTCAGTTCTGTCTCTTGCTTAGCAGTAAAAATTTGAGCAAGTTATTTAATGTCCTGGTAGAGTCCTCTTTCCTAATCCATAAAATTGAGCTTGACTAGTGTCCTCATAGACTTGTGAAATAACACTTAAGAGCTAAAGCTCATAACATTGTGTCTGTTGTTGTTGTTAAGTGCCATTGAATTGGTTCCTAGCAACCCGTACAGGGTTTCTGAGGCATCGCTGGTGGGTTTGAACTTCCAACTTTGTAGTTCAGACTGAACTTGTGGTACATTTGCTTATCCTACAATGCCAAACCAGGATTCCAGTGTTATCTAGCACATAATAAATAGTTAAATATTAGATATTATTATAATTTATATTTTGTCATTAAAAAATACCTTTTTATTTTCCTAGGTTATAGTGAACTAAATGGTAATGCTGGAGAAAGAGAAATACCTTCAAAGAACCTGGGTTCTGATGAAGCAACCAACCCTTTTTCCAGGGTCCTCAATGGCAACCAGCAAGTTATGGACACTAATGTGAAGCAGACTGTGAAGTCCAGCACCTTTGGGAGAGCAGGAATTAAAACCAAGAATTTCATTCAGAAAAACAGTATGGACAAAAAGAATGGAAAGTCTTATGAAAACAAATCTGGAGAGAACCAATCTATAGACAAGACGGATACTGTAGCAATTCCAAATGGTGTTGTAACAAGTAATTCTGGCTATATTACTAATGGTTATATGGGCAAAGGGGCAGATAATGATGGCAGTGGATCTGAAAGCGGATATACCACTCCTAAAAAAAGGAAAGCTAGGCGCAATAGTGCCAAGGGTTGTGAAAACCTTAATTTAGTGCAAGACAAAATAATGCAACAAGAGACCAGTGCCCCACCCTTAAAACAAGGACTTGAAACTTTCAAGCCTGACTATAGTGAACAAAAGGGAAATCGAGTAGATGGTTCGAAGCCCATTTGGAAGTATGAAAGTGGACCTGGAGGAACAAGTCGAGCAAAACCTGTGGGTGATATACTTCGGAAAAGCTCTGATATTAAACCTGGTGTGAGCAGCAAAAAGTTTGATGATCGACCCAAAGGAAAGCATGCTTCAGCTGTTGCCTCCAAAGAGGATTCATGGACCCTATTTAAACCACCCCCAGTTTTTCCAGTGGACAATAGCAGCGCTAAAATAGTTCCTAAAATAAGTTATGCAAGCAAAGTTAAGGAAAACCTCAACAAAACTGTACAGAATTCTTCTGTGTCTCCATCTTCATCTTCATCCTCTTCGTCATCTACTGGGGAAACTCAGACCCAGTCTTCAAGTCGGTTATCCCAGGTCCCTATGTCTGCGCTGAAATCTGTTACTTCTGCCAACTTCTCTAATGGGCCTGTTTTAGCAGCGACTGATGCAAGTGTGTATTCTTCGGGGGGTCAGCCACTGCTAACTACTGCTGCTAATACACCCATTTCTTCTGGAACTGATTCAGTTCTCCAGGACATGAATTTAACTTCAGCAGCTGTTGAACAAATTAAGTCTAGCCTTTTTATCTATCCTTCAAATATGCAAACTGTGCTTTTGAGCACAGCACAAGTAGATCTGCCCTCTCAGACAGATCAGCAAAACCTGGGGGATATCTTCCAGAATCAGTGGGGTTTATCATTTATAAATGAGCCCAGTGCTGGCCCTGAGACTGTTATCGGGAAGTCATCTGATCATAAAGTAATGGAAGTGACATTTCAAGGGGAATATCCTGCCTCTTTGGTTTCACAGGGTGCTGAAATAATCCCCTCAGGAACTGAGCATCCTGTGTTTCCCAAGGCTTATGAGCTGGAAAAACGGACTAGTCCTCAAGTTCTGGGTAGCATTATAAAATCTGGGACTACCAGTGAGAGTGGAGCCTTATCCTTGGAACCTAGTCATATAGGTGACCTGCAAAAAGCAGACACCAGTAGTCAAGGTGCTTTAGTGTTTCTCTCAAAGGACTACGAGATAGAAAATCAGAATCCTTTGGCCTCTCCCACGAACACCTTGTTAGGTTCTGCCAAAGAACAGAAATACCAGAGAGGCCTAGAAAGGAATGATAGCTGGGGTTCTTTCGACCTGAGGGCTGCTATTGTATATCACACTAAAGGTAACTTATTTATTTTCTATACAAAAATTTCTTATTGTCTAATATAAGATACATTTATATTGGCTGCATTAAAAGATGAACTTGGGAAATTACTGTCTTTGTTTTTATGAAGAATTTGAGAGCTTAGTTGAATTACAGTTAAGAGAACTGAATTCTGATTTATTTTATAGAAGAATCTTGTCTGTGAATCATTATTAATGAGCTCATGTAATAGTTGTAAATTTGCTTAAAATAAGTAGGAGCAGGGTTTGAGGGGTCCAAAAAGATAGTGTGCTAATTTTTTTTTTCTCTTGCAAGAAGGAATAATGAATACTAAGGGGTTACCTAGACAATTTGTTAAGTGCCGTGGAGTTGGTTCTGACTCATAGTGACCCTGGTATGAGAGCCAGTTGGGTGGGTTTGAACAGACAACCTTAAAGTTAACATTCCATTGCTAATCCTACAGTTCTACAACAAGACTCCAGATAATTTTGGCAGACCATAGTAGTGGCACAATTAATGTCGTAAGAGACCAGACTCATGAAAATCTGCGATTGTCATAGCCCTAAAGCTCATGTTAAAAGGGAGTCAAATCTTATACATTCTGTTCTAATAATTTTCTTAAAATGTAGTTTGTGTCTTGAAGAAAAACTTGATGTATAGCAACTATAATTTAAATCCGTTGAATTGATGTTTACAACTAGTGCTAAAGAGAACATTAGTTTTCAGTGCTCTTGTCCCCTTCCACCTTAATCTTTGCTTCCATTCTTAACAGAAATCCAAATTCCTAACAATGACATGCCTGTACACACATTCTCATTTTGAACAGTGGCTCATTTCATTTTTAAGTGAATTAATGTAATCTGCATGCTTTTTCTAAAAACTGGAAGACATTTTGTAAAATACCTTTTTTATATTCATTTTCTTCCTTTAAAAGAATGGGAATACATAGTAGAATTACATTATGGGAATTAAGGAGTAGGTATCCTGACTGATAAAATTAGCTGCCTTCACTTGTTCTGCTATGCTATTTGGGAGAAAGAGTGAGTTAGCCAGGAACTGCATGATTTTAAGGAAAGTTAGAGCAAAAAAAGCAATGTTTAGATTTCTTAATGATACATAGTTATATATAAGCTAAGTTTTGATAGAAGGAGGTGCATATTTTTGCTGTCATTTTCTGTGCCCTTCTACCCTCCAAAGAGACCGTCAACTTGTACCAAAATATCTTGATGCTCTTCGTTTGAGCTTGAGAGGTTTTCTGGTTATGTTCTTAAACTGACAAAATTCTGGAATAGGTTGAATTATGTATTGGATCATGTCAGTCAGAATTTCAAACATTTTTTAATGTGATGGGAGTATTAGCTACAATTTCTTTTTTGATATATTCTGTGTGTATGTAGCTAAATAGGAGATAGTGATGCTTAGATCAACTAAATGTTCTTCCATAAGTGTAGTTATGCTTAGTTTTGCTGGTGTTACAGAAAAGATTTGTTTTAGTTTGTACATTACTTTGGGTTTTGTACTTGGGATTTTATTAATGTTAATCTTTACTCTCCTAGAGCAATAGATAATATTCAATTCAATTAGGCCATAAAGTAGCAGACTGTTTGAATTTTTTCCGAGAATGTTAAGTGCCATAGATTTGGTTCCAACCCATAGCCACCCTATATAGGATTTCCGAGGAGCAGCTGGTAAGCTTGAACCACTGACCTTGCAGTTCAACCAGCTTTATAGTCTGGCACCAGATTGATCTATTAGCACTAATTTTTCTTTATTTGGATTTTTAAAGATTTATTGAATATGCAAAAGGCTTTTTTTAAAAAATTTATTAAATAATCTGTTGGGTTTACTGAAATATCCTATAAGAACATAGACTCCTGGGTATGGTGTTGTAGAATAGGCACTGGACTGCTAACCATAAGGTCGCAGCTCAAACTCATCAGCTTCTTGGAAAACCCTATACAGTGTCCCTACAAATTGACTCAATAGCACTTAACAACAACACAAGAACATGTGTATTCTTAGTCCTTTAGTGTAGTCTTTATTTTTTTGTGCTTTCATTGAAAGTTTTTTACACAGTGTATTGTTGTTAAGTGCCATCGAGTCAATTCCAATCCATAGAGGGTTTCAAAGGAGCGACTGGTGAGCTTGAACCACTGACCTTGTAGTTCGGACTGCTTTGCAGTCTGGCGCATTAACCCATAGCGCCATACCAGGACTACTCCCCACTGCATTTAGGTTACCATTTAATAATATCTGCACAAATTGCTCAGTGACATTGGTTATGTTTTCACAATGTGTCAACATCCACATTATTTCTGTCTTGGTTATTCCATTTCCAGTTACCTATTTTCCGTCCCCTTCTTATCTTTGCTTTAGAGTAATTAATTGTGGACTGTTTGATCTCACATAGATGATTTTTCAGAGGAGCACAGTACTCACAGGTGATAATTCTTTGTAATATGACCTAATCTGTTCCTTAAAAGAGGTGACCTTAGGGTATAGTTTTGGATCATGGTTTAAAGTATTATCTCACAACCAGTCTAGTAAATTGGAAATTTTTAAGAACTTGAGTTTTGTTCCACATTTCTTTTCCTATCGGGATCAATCTATTGTAGACCAACCTGATCAGAATGATCAATATTGGTAGCTAGGCACCATCTAGTTCTTTTGATTTTTAGGGCAAATGAGGCCATGGTTGTGTAGTCTATTAGTCCTGTAGCCTAGTTTCTTTTCTGAGTATTCAGTTACTTTTCTTTTTTGCTCCATACGAATAGACACCATTTCTTGTGTATCTTACTTGTAAGCTTTTAAGATCACAGATTGGCAGCCAAACTAGAATGTAGAACATTTATAAACTATTTTATGCCAACTGACTGAGCTGCCCCATGAGACTGGTCTTTCAAACCCAGACAAACAATCCTGTGAGGTGTTTTGATTATGTCTATGAAGTATCCAGAGCCATGGTATGGCACTGAAGGATAAGCACAGGACTGGTAACCACAAGGTCAACTGTTTAAATCCACCAGCTGCTGTCAGAAATCCTGTAAGGGGTGCTATGAATCTGAACTAACATAATACCTGACAAGTATTCATAATTACCTCCTATATGTGCTTTATTTTATATATATGATGATGCGTACATAACACGTGTATTTGATGTTGCCAACTCAGGTGACAGGGTGGAATTGCCTAGTATGGTTTTCTTGGCAGTAGTCTTTATGGAAGGTAGACTACCTTATCTTTCTCTTGTGGAACAGGTGGTGGAATTTGAACCACTGACCTTTTGATAGTAGCCCAAAGCTTAATTCAGTGTGTTACCAGAACTCCTATATAGATAGACTTCAAGGCACTTAACATAAATGCACATGGACTCCTGGTGTGGCGCTGTATGATCAGCACTGGACTGCAAACCACAAGGTTGGCAGTTCAAACCCACCAACTTTTCTTAGAAATCCTTTATAGATAGGGTGGTGGCTCTGAGACAGAACCAACTTGAAAGCACTTAACAATAACATATATATGCTTAGAACTAGAAGATCTATATATAACCTCTTACAATTAAGCCCTTTCAACAACTTAGTTTGTAAATATAAGGGGCTTCGCGAAAAAGTAGAGTTAAAAGATAGTGGGGGTTTTTTTGTTTTTTGTTTTTACGCACTTTAACGCTCCCTCGTATTTTTGATTTTTATGGTAGTTATTCTATAAAGTTGCAGTGAACACTGAATTGGCAAATGTATATTGTATTAATGATGTATGTCTGGCAGTAAGGAGAACACTGAAGTGCCAAGGCACGAGTAATGCTGGTTATGATGATTAATGTTGTGTCAACTTTCTTGGCCATGATTTCAGTGGTTTGGCAGTTATGTAATGGTGTGATGTGATGTGGTCATCCTCCATTTTTGCATAATTCTGAGTTTTGTATAATGACCTGGTCCTTGGGAATCTAACCATGTCAACAAGTGAGGGAGTTGGTATACTGAACCATTTCTCCCTAGGAGGGAAATGAAGGTTTAGGTTTTTACAAATTTCTGGTCACAACATTTTCATCAACTGATCAATACATGTACCTTTGTGTGTTTCTGTTTTAAAGACACCGTATTTAATACATATTGTTGATTCATTAACATTGAACTGACCACCAACAGCACTATAAATCATGCCTGAATGAATAACACACATTTTGTATATAAGGCACTTCATAGACTTTGCACATAGTAGGAACATAGGCAGAAAAAACACCAACATAATAATGTACAAAAATGGGCCAAAGTGTCAATAAATAGAATGTAAAAAAGGTTTCTGTTTGTAGTATAAGAGCTGAAACAAGGCAATCTCCTTGTTTCACCTTGAGGTGAATAAAACATGCATGTCATATGTGATACATTTTTTTCCCTATTCTACATGTCTGAATATAAATGCGAAAGTGATGCCAGTTTTGATTTTGTAGCTAAAAAATTTTAGTATGAAGGCAAATTCCAAATAAGGAATCCAAATAAATGAGGAGTGGTTGCAAACCATAAGGGCAGCAGTTTGAAACTACCAGCTGTTTTACGGGAGAAAGATGAGGCTTTCTGCTCCCGTAAAGATTTACAGCATCAGAAACCCTGTGCAGGGTCGCTATGAGTTGGAACCGACTCCATGGCACATAACCTCCACCACCACCATAGTACGTTGGAAGGGGCTCTGGTAGCGTAACAGTTACGAATTGGGCTGCTAATCTCAAGGTCAGCAGTTTGAAACTACCAGCTGTTCCCCACGGGAGAAAGATGAGGCTTTCTGCTCCCATAAAGATTTACACCCTTGGAAACCCTGTTACAGGGTCGCTATGAGTCAGAACTGACTCCACAGCACATAACCATCACTGCCACCATAGTAAGTAGGGAGTCCTGGTATGATGTTGTGGGCTAATGCATCAGACTGTAAAGTTGTTTGAACTGCAAGGTCGGTGGTTTAAGCTCACCAGCTGCTCCTGAGAAAACCCTATACAGGATCACTATGGGTCAGCACTTGACAACATC